TGTTTTTAATTTACTTTGAACTATTCATATTTTTATTTAATAAACATATATATTTTTAACTTAAATGAACAAAATTTGGTTCCGTGTAGAACCTTGCGATTTTTTCTATGTTGTTCAGAATTAAGTGATCAAAGCGAATTTAATGAAGTATTTAAATTTTGGTGTAAAGTGGCCATATGTAAAGTGGCTATATGTAAAGTGGCCGGAGAACCAGAATATGGCCACTATCCCCCAAAATGTAGTTTCCATATTAAATACGCTTTGATCTCTTGATTCTGAACAACATTGAAAAAATCACAATGTTCAAGGACATTTTTTATAATGTGACCGGTCGTTCCGATTCCTCCTTTAGGCCAGTAGAGTTTCTCTGAGGGCGTATATGGTGTCTTTACACCATATATACTTAGTACTATCAATTTCCAGTAATATACTTTAAGTAAAGTGTAAAATTATGTCGATACATAGTGGCATTTCCTACTTTACCGGGAACTCAGGTTGATCCCGGCCCTCTATCTCGGTACGCACAAGTCTCCGGCCAATGAGGCCACCACCAATCAATTCAACAGAGTTTTTCCTTTGAGAATATGTATAACATGTTGACTGAAACCGTTTGGCAGCCGAGATATTCAATTTAGATGCGGTTTTGTTCGTTTTTGCCCACTGTGCAACGGTTTGGTAATAGCATAGAGGTAACTCTAAGACCAGAAGGTCCCGAAGAAACGAGCTCAACTTTTTGGCTCAGTTCTGGTACTATCTTCGGTCCCAAGCTAATCGATTCACCCCTCGAAACATAGGAAAATCCACTAACCCCTCATTTTATCTGTCAAACTTTCATAGCTAATCAAAACAAATATAGTGTAGTACTGGAATTTATACTAGAATGGGATACGTTAGTCGATTTGCTTGGGACCAATAGGCTAGTCAAGTAGTGAGCCAATTTAAACCGTTAGTTTCGTATTGATTGTTGGTAATAGTCCTTTCTCTTTCTGGATTGTCTCCAAGTTGGCCATGAAAAGTTCACACAGGAAGGGGGTTAGGGGGTTTCCCATTGGGGCTCCTTTCGTCTGTTTGTGGAAGTTACCTCGGAAAGAGAAGTAGTTCTTTTCCATACAAAGGCGGGTCAGCTTAAGGTACGTCCGAACCTTGTATCGCCATGCTGCATCCTCTCGTCGTGTTAATAGCCAGTCCTTCAAATGGTTGATCGGTTCCTTGACCGGTACGCTGGGAAAAAAGAGCTGTGACGTCGAAAAATACCATAATCTCGTCCTCGTTGATGTATCCTGAAGATTGTAGTTGGTGGGCGAACTCCTGGGCGTGAGCATGAGCATGAGCATGATTGACCGCCCACGGTTGCTACTCTGTTATTGCCAGACCAGCTGTAATTACACAGAGAACCAATAGACGATGCTTGGGACTAGCAATCATCCTCAATGTGTAAAAACGCGCCCAAACACAGGTCTTGAAAGGAAGGGGTAGGAATGTGTTGACGTGACACTCGCTTTGATGGAAGCCGAGAACACCTCTGCACTTCCACGAGGAATCACTGGGATATTGAGTAATAGGGTTGGGTTTGCAGCAGGGTTCATTTTGGTAAACGATAAGCTGAATTGATGTCCTAACAATCATATAACGCGAAGAAGCTTGGGATTGAACCTATGGTCTTCTGCTCAGTAAGCAAAAACGTTTGCCACTAGGCAGACGAGCTCCTTTTTAATCATCGAGTTGCTGTTATTACCATGTAGTCATGTTAACAAATAAAACGATTGACGAATCATGAATGTGGATGGGCTTGAGATTAGACTCATGATGATCTGCTCAGTAAGCAAAACCGGTTGTGCTAAGTCCACCGAGCCCCTCATATCACATTACAGCGTTACTCAAGTTTTTATGACTATTCAGACCCGGCATCGACGAAAACGAAAAGTTTTACAAAATACACGATAAACAAGCGATCTAACCATACATTTTTAATATTAAAGGATCTGGGACCGCGTTTTTCTGCTCAGTAAGCAAGCCACTGCAACCGACGATCTTTGAAATCCTTAAACTAAAAGCTACGAAAGAGGCCTTTATTAAGATCAATTTTCACGCGACGTTAAATGTTTCGATTTTCTCTTTACGCATGGTTCAGGTAATCATAACAAGCTATGACCGACGTGACGATTGTTTAAGACCTAGTTGAATTTTACTTGGCATGTCATGAACAACAGAAATACGCGATAATTCATATTTTCAGCGGGTGGTGGTTAATTTTAAATATACTAACAGTACTGCCTACGACTACGACGGCGATTACGACAACGACTACGACGGCGCCTACGACAACGACAACAGCGAATTTGTAACTTATCATTTGTCTAGGATAAACACCTTTGCCCGGCACCTCCACTGGTTCTTCATGTCCGCTATCTGTCACTGTTTGCAAAATATCTAATAGCAATAACCTTCCAATACCAATACTTCCTGTATTGCCATCCCAACAAACAATTTGAGTTGATCAACAACTGAGAAAGCCATTTTTTAGCCGAAAGATCTTATTTTTGCCTGAATAAGCTCTTATTCAACATTCAATGTTGGGATGGTCATCTGGGAGGAGGATCGCATCAAGTGCTTTCCCCAGGAACCGTTCACGGCCATCAGCTACTGCCCGTCCAGTCTTGGGCGTATCCAGCGAGGCATCCTTCAGATTACTTACAATCTTCGACACTCAATGCAAATCGCAGGCACACTTCGCTAGCTACAAAAAAAAAAAAAAAAAAAAAAAACACACCCGTGCAAAGGAACGGATCAAATAAACGTCACTCTCGCGAAAGCACACCCGTCGTCGTCGAACGGTAAAAAAAAGGAATCGATGGACAATTTTGTGATACGGATTCGGATTTCCAAAATCAACCGGGAATGCACGAATTTCACCACACCCAACTACGAAACACGTTCAGAAGCACTTTTGATACACTTTCGTTCGAAAACACTTTTTTTTTTTTTTTTTGTTATGGTCACTTTAACACTCTAGGGTCATTCGTGACTTGTCCGGGGGTGAGATTTGAACTCGTGACTTTTCGTGAGAGGTATGGATGTTAACCACTACGCCGGGGTCGCCGCCTCGAAAACACTTAATTTTTTTCAAAATAGTTGCGAGTGAATCAACATCCTTCGGTGTACTTCTAATATTGTACTGGTTGTTAGTGGAAAGTGTAGTTCGTTTCGATAATCGGCTAATTAGAGCATATTTTGTGTTGTGAAAACAGTGAAAAAATTATCCAATCGGACATATTGTACACGACTCGTAGTTGCTGGGCGAACTCCTGGGTGTTACTAACTGCTTTACTCTGGAACTGATTCGGCATACTCTGGAACTCTTTGACTAGCCACTTCGTTAGTTTGTGGGTGGGGGAACCAGCTGCAGACACGATTTCTTGCATTTTATTCCCCGGTTTGTGGACTTTGGGGAGACCCTTGATCCTCCCAACTAACAATTTTAGCTGCAGATTAGCTTACACAGCCAAAAATGGGCTTATACAGCTAATATTTGCCTGTATAAGCTAGTCTGCAGCTAAAATTGTTTGTTGGGCTGGGTAGAATGGGATTGGATTCCCGTAAATGACCTGCTCCATCTCCTACTATTGATTTGCACTCCTTCAGTGCTTTCTCCACGCGTTTCACTATGTTTTGAAAGGGGTCTACTCGAAGCTGTCTATACGGTCCGGTCCGTTGGTAATCTTAATTGTCATCTAATTGTCGTAATCGTCCTTGTCATCAGGATTCAATTAAAATTGGTGGATGTACATTGGTTTGCAAAAACCACACACTAAGAATATTTCACACGCTACCGGATTTTTTTTCGCTGAATGTTTCTCATGTCATCTTCCATATCGTTGTTCGTCGTGTGTCGGTTATTTAGCATCCTCTCCCAATAAAACTAAAAGTCTTTCAGTTAGCGAACGTCTTGTGTGATTATTTTGTATGATATTCTCAATTCGTTCAAAACAAGAAGCCAGCAAGCCTGCTATTCCACATTTTGGCAGTACGTTCTGACCTGTTCTGACTATAGCTAATATCATGCTATATGGACTGTCTTCAAATATACTGTATTAACAAAAAGGTTCACTATTTTGTTTTTTCGGAGACACAGTTTTCGGCCATAAACATTACGTAGGCTGCTTCAAAACTACATAAGAGATTTAAAACATTTTTTTTTAAACAACTATTGAGCGCTGGAGAGCAGTTATAACTACCGGTGGAAACTAACGATTTTAAATTGGCTCACTACTTGACTAGCCTATTGGTCCCAAGCAAATCGATTAACGTACCCCATTCTAGTCGAAATGTAAAACCGTGGCTATGAGGACCCTACACGACCAATCAGAACTACTCAGCGACTGTATTCAATTGACGTAGAGCATTTTCTTTCCATACGAAATTTACCCATATTTGGGAAAACCTGCAGGAGCTCATAGCTTAAAGTTCTGATTGGCTGTGAGAAGGCTGATGTACGGCTAACATTAAGGGGAAGTTCACCGCTTCGAAAAAAATAATTACGTTTTGATTTTTCTAAAAATATTGAAAAAAAGTATCAAAAATCTAAAAAATCACATTTTTTCTAATTTTTTAAAGAAAATTCACGTGCAAAAACATGTTTTATAAGTCATTATGGCATAAAGTTGGACTCAAAAAACCACAAAACATCAACTTTTCGGTTTTTCTGAGAGTCCAATTTTTTTTCATGATGCGATAGAAAATTTTTTTTTGCATGTAATTTTGACAAAAATCTAAGGAAGAAACTGATTTTCTTGGATTTTTGATAATTTTTCCCAATATTTTTAGAAAAATAAAAACGTACCGAAAATATTTTTTTATTTTTGGGCCGGTGAGCTTCCCCTTAAACGTTGATCTGATTGTTTTTTTTTTCAAGTCACATATAAGACAGCATTTCATGTAGAATTAGTCTAACTATACATTTGATGTTTCTTTCAAATGAGAAATTTTGTATAGCGTTTTTTAAAATAATTTATGCTTTATCATTTTCAGGACAATAAAACACATCAATATTTGTTTCTCTACATTCCCTAAAATGGTAATTAAACGCTCCTAGACAATATTTGCTAGGGGTAGGCTTAAAATAGTTCAGTCCCCGACCGATTTTAACAATGTATCCATTACTAAGTCTGAAAGAAAATAACAAATCAATTAGTTTTAATCATACAATCGCGAGCAACTCGCACGAACTTACATCACTTGCCGATCATGCATATTTGGGGAATATTCTACGAAGAACTCCACTCCATGCTTCTGTAGACTTTCCTTCAGCTTTTGAAATGCCCGCCCCTGTTCGTCATTGCTCTTCAACTCCCGTACGGTCAACAGTTTGACAAACTTTAAATTCTTGCAACTCGTCACAGCCAACTCGCAAAACATCACCAAATTGCACACCTGATGGTGTTCCCTCACGTAAGGTTCCTCAACCAAAATCTCCTTTACCTCATCCGTCATGTACAGTCCAAACACCCTCCCGTAGCTGTAACCTGTTGCACCGTCCACAACGTGTATCTTGTCCCGAATTTCTCCTCTACTCTTCCAGCGTGTCACCAATTCCTTCACCTGTTCGGCTCGATTCATATACTCGAGGATTTTATTTTGGAAGTGTTGCTTCCGCTTTGGGTCCGTCTCAGCTAGCAGCAGAATAAAAATGAGATATTCCATAATTTACAACCAAAACCAAATGAGCTAACCTTTCGATTCCTTGAGTAGTGCTTCGATGCCATCTTCGTACAGTTTGAGCGATTCTAGCTTTCGACCGTTTATGTCGTATTCGATTGCTCTCGTGAGCAAAGTTATTGCCATTTGGGCCATATTATTGGTATACAGTTTGAATCGCTCACCAAAATTATGGTGAACGTCTTTGTTTACCAACAGCTTTAGTAATTGGTGATCAGATGATTTTTGTTTTGCACTGCTTGATTATCCAATAAGAAATAAAAGGGGAGAGAAAGAGAAACGTCAGATGTGCTCGAATGCTTCGACACTTGGGACAGAGGGAAAGCGGAACAAATGATACAGCCGGAAGAATTTTGATTGAAATTTTTAGCGCATGCGCTTCACCGAGCGCGGGAATTACAGGCGGAAATTTTGTTCAACGAATAATAATTAGATAAGAATGCAATATTTTTTTTAATTGAAATGTGTCTTTTGAAACAGTTCTTATTGCATTGCTTTTTGTCTTATATATGCTGCAATGTATTTATTCGTTTCAAATGCAAAACAAGTTACATATATGTAACTTGTTTTGAATTTGGAACGAATAAATACATTGGTATACATTTAAACTAGAGTCGGTGTATAATGAGTCACGCCAAAAGAAAAACAGTTGAACCATGTTGAACTCTCATCACGGTTTTCGAAAGATTCCCTTTCTTTTCACTTGACAACAGAGGACTTCTACATCAACTTCAAATGGCTTCTAGCGGGAAAAAAATAGCGGCTATAGTAAATCATTATATCAGTGATTTTGTCAAATAATCTCAACCAAAAATAGTAGAAATTCTCATAAGTGATCATTACCACACGTATACCATCACAATTTATTGCTCACTGCGTGTTTATGATCATTTCTTCGATTATATTTTATATTTTATTGCAATACCTTTCGTGGACCTTTCATAGCATCGTAATGTTTGTTTACTTTGTATGAAAGGTAGCCGGTTTGACAGCTCAGGTAGACTTGGCTTCCCTCTTGGCGTGAGTCATTATCCACCAACTCTAATTTAAACCTTTTAAGGTGATCCAGGCGATCTAGGTACTACAGAAGTTTAAACACTGGCCAGACTGAGCAGTTATAATATGTTATAAGGCTATCTTGATCTCGACCTTGATGACGTTTTTCTTGTTAATAGGTATTATAACATTTTATATCTGTAATCTGAACAAGGTATTGTAGAGTTTCGGTTCATCTGAATTTTAATATATAAATACACGCGTCCGTTCCGGTTCGTGGATAGACAAAAACTATTTTATTTCTGCTTCAAGGTTTCTTAATACAAAGGTATGTTCAGCGGTAGTAGCAATGTATCTATTTGGTTCAGGTATAATATCTTCAAGATTAATACAAGTATACACAGATAAAAATTCTGAATTTTAATTGTGATGTAAACATTCACACACGCAAACTTGTATTTCATTTCACGCAATCAAGCAACTTGCAAACAATGTTGTTTACAATGATGGGATTTTGTATACAATATTTGCTACATTGCATGAAATGTGTCAGAACTTTACATGATATATAATGTAAACGTATATGATATGTGACGCTCCATTTATGTGCATCATATTGAACAGAAATTTACACTACTTTTTCGAACTGTGTAGGTAATTATGCTATGATCGACACTACATTCCTCATTTTCTACAAGCTAAACAAGGTTATTAACTGTATAATCTTTTAAGTATGATGGATGTTTCAATTCCCTTTTTGGACGAGATTTAAATTCACTTCTTGTATTTGGTGAGTTGTTCCGCAGAAGATTACGATGGCTAACCATATCCATTCTTGATCGGTTTGATTCATCCTCGCCTAATGGTGCATCGTCGGTGTTTGGAGGTGTGGACTCCAATGGATCGTTTTGGTCTTCTGAGTTTAAGGTTTCCGAGTCAATTGTGGCATCGTTATCATCTGAAACGAGCTTTTTAAGATGTGATACATTACGGTGAATTATCCTCCCACTTTCCTTTGACATCAAAATCACATCTGAGCCAGTACGAGAAACAACAATGTATTCTTCAGGATCAAATGTAGTTGACAGTTTGTTTTCTTTATGCACACGTTTTGTTACTATTATGTCACCTTTCTCCAGATCATTTGACTTTGCCCTGCGTCGGTTGTCTGTATATTCTGCTCCTTTCACCTTCTGTACATGGTCACGATCTTGGATCTCCTCGAGAGTTTTGAACCTTTCATTAGCAATCCTGGTAGCTTGTCTTTAAGTTTTCTCCCAAACATAAGGATGGATGGAGCAACGCCGGTTGTAGAATGTGGTGTGGAATTATGCATCAGAACAAATGTTCTGAGATCCCACTGCCAATCGGATCCCGACGTTTCTTGGCTGATCTTTAATCTCTTCCCAATGGAACGGTTGATTCTTTCCACTTCCCCATTGGCTTGAGGCCAGTAGGGTGTTGTTTTCCTGTGTTCGATGCCAAACTGCTTGCAAAAATCTTGAAGCTCGATACTGATGAATTGGGGTCCATTATCAGATTTTATGGATTCCGGCATGCCAAAACGACAAAAAGTTTCGTGTAATGCCTTCACAGTGAGACCTGCCGTAATTTGCCTCATGATGATCACTTCCGTGAAACGACTGAAATAGTCTACAATGACAAGTAGATTATGCCCGGATGGTAGTGGACCAACAAAATCGATTGCTAGATCTGCCCATGCTTTGTCTGGCAGTTTCGTTCGAATCAGTGGTTCTGGCGGGTTTGGTAATGAAACCAGAGTACAATTTTTACACCTCTTAACGTATAGCTCCACCTCCATGTCCATGTGAGGCCACCACACCTTTTGTCGAAGCTTCCTTTTCATAACAACTATACCCGGATGCGCTTCATGGGCAATGTCTAGAATTCGTGGTCTTAATTTTACCGGAATGACTAATCTGTCACCTCTCAACAGAAGGTTTTCAACTCGACAAAGTTCCGATGCAAACGGTTTGAAATCTCTGGTGACATCGTTCCATATCCCAGTTTCCAAACATTGCAGTACGTTTTGGAGAACATCGTCTTTCAAAGACTCTTCTTCAACCTCCTTTACTGATACGGTATACGGAATTCCAGTAAGTGCTAATTGTAGAATGCAGGCTTCATCGGATGTGCTAAAAAGCCACTGGTTTGGAAACCGACAATCTAGAGAGTGCATCAGCCAAATTGTTCGCTCCAGGTTCGTAGATCACCTCGAAATTGTATGTCTGCAAACGCAAAACCCAACGTTCAATTCGGACACAGGGTTTGGATCTTTCTTTGAACAAGAAAAGCAGTGGTTTGCAGTCGGTTATCAATTTGAATCGTTTGCCCAGCAGATACAACTGAAATTTATCAGCCGCCCACACCAAAGAAAGTGCCTCCTCTTCTGTTTGAAAATATTTTTGTTCAATTACTGTTAAAGCTTTGCTTGCAAACGATATAATCCTTCTGTGTCCATCGGAACCTTGCTGCAACAAAACAGCTCCCAATCCAGTTGGACTAGCATCGGCTATAACTATGCACAGATCCTTAGGATCGTAATAGCCGAGAAAATCAGATTCAATTACCGCTCTCTTGATTTCTTCGAATGCATGTGAATGCTGCGGTCCCCAGACAAATCTTTCGCCTATACGAAGTAAGTTCCGAAGTGACTCTGTTTTGTCTGCCAAAGAAAGTATAAACCGCCCCACATATGTTATTAAGCCCAGAAAGCTACGCAGTTCGGAAGCGTTCCGTGGTGCTCTGAATTTTTCAATAGCAGCAATCCTACTTTCTGTTGGTCGAATACCGGAACTAGACAACTCGTGACCTACAAATTCTATCCGAGAGGCATTGAATACACATTTCTCATCATTCAACAATATTCCATACTGTTGTACGCGAGATAGAAGTGCTTTTAATCTGTCAGCATGTTCCTGTTGAGTTCGCCCTGTGACCATTATATCGTCCAAATAAACAACCACTCCATCCAAACCAGCAACGATGGATTCCATTACCTTTTGGAACAATTCCGGAGCGCAGCTAATCCAGAACATTAGCCTTTTGTATCTAAATAGAAAGAAACAAAACATTCCCATACTATAGAATAAATATACTCTTATATACTCATCTTCTGAAGAATACATTTTATTTTTATTTTTGTATACGGCTCGGGCTACATTTTTTTTACCTGTACAATCCCTGTTTAGTTATGAAAGTTGTGATGTCTCTTGAACGCTTGGAAATCTCAACCTGATGATACGCCTCACGTATGTCCAGTTTTGAGAACCGGACTGCTCCATTGATACCACCAAAAAGTTCTTCAATTATTGGTAACGGATGCGCCTCCCTTATGATCGCCTGATTAGCTCTGCGCATGTCGACACAGAGGCGGATCTCCCCATTGTCCTTCAAAACAGGAACAATGGGAGACACCCACGCAGACAGATGATGAACACGTTCGATTATGTCCTGGTCGAGAAGATATTGGAGCTTCGCTGCGACTTTATCTTCTAAGGCAAACGGTGCTCGTCTGTACGGTTGCTGAACTGGTTTGATGTTAGGATCCACAGGAATTTCTACGAGTACCCCTTTGATTTTGGGAAATTCCGTCGGTATCTCTTGCAGTGATCCAACATTATATCCAATCTTAAGCACATTCAGCTTTTTAGCTGTTTCGTCACCGAGGAGGCTCTGCATTCCATTTTTAGTTATGTAGAATGTTGCTTTCACCTTGTTGTCGGCTGCCTCAATCACTGCTACGAACTTTCCAATCATGTTCAGCGGGTTCGTTGAGCCATAGGCTTTGAATATGCGATCAACCTTAGGGCTAAATTCCAATTTAGCTCTGCACCTTTGCAACATTTCCCAAGTACGAAGATCGATGATATTTGCCGCTGCTCCAGAATCAATTGTCATGACGGTTTCAATACCTCCCACCTTAAAACGGAACACATTTTTTCCCATAACGAAACAAATATCTTGATCTTTCCCCGACACGTCTTGATAGGTATGTTGCGTTTCGGTGGATTTGCTGGAGTCAAATCTTGAAGAGAATGCTCGTTTATCCTTTTCGTGCACCACTTGGCAAAATGACCAACTGTCCGACATTTAAGACATTGGGCATCTCGAGCGATACAAGCTGAACTGCCTTTGCGATGTCCACGACGACCGCACGCAAAACAAATTCTATTGTCGGTGTTATGCTGATAACTTCCAGCAGGTCCAGTTTTTTTTTTTTTTTTTTTTTTTTTTTTTTTTCGTGGATAGACAAAAACTATTTTATTTCTGCTTCAAGGTTTCTTAATATAAAGGTATGTTCAGCGGTAGTAGCAATGTATCTATTTGGTTCAGGTATAATAGCTTCAAGATTAATACAAGTATAGGTAACTATGCTATGATCGACACTACAGGTATGTGTTCGAAACTATTCCTATATCAAACTTAGATTGATCTCTTTTACGATCTTCATTCTCTAATAAACTTAATAATATGGTAACATTCAGACTACAGATTTATAACAAGTTATAACGGTTGTCAAATATTTGCAACACAGAAACCACCATCAAGATAGCGCTGTAACATTTTATAACTCTGAACAAGGCATTATGTGCACCAATAGAAAGTAAACAGTATTTACTTTGTTTCCTAAAAATAAAATATAGTCTCTAATAAATTCTACTAAAGAGTGCATTCGACGTGCGTACGATAAACGTTAGCAATCTCTATACTCTGAACTGACGTTTGCATGTCAATGAAGCTTGTTGCCTTCTAAGAGGAAAAGGGGACAACTGGCTTCTTTTTATCTGTGACGTGTTCTTCTTCTCTCGCAGAAACGACCCTGTGGTTAATTTTTTTGCGTTTATACGTTCGCCCGACCAATCAGGCGCTGGTTCGCCTTTGACAGAAAATTGGTTCATAAAAGTCCCCCTATAGTCTCCTCTTCTCTTAGGTTGCCTTATGTCAACAAACTTTATTATTTCCTTTAAACTTCTACTGGTTTGAAATGTTCTACAAAATTGTTCAAAACATCAAATAAGTTTGATGGATATCATAGCACACTACATCGCAAAATAGGTGAGCTATTATTGATTTTGCACTAAAAAAATTAGTTAGACAAAAGAAAAACTTGAGATTTGTTCCGGCCCAACAAAAAAATATTTTTATAATTTTTTTTTACATGTGACGGCTTCGGCATGACAGACTATTTTCGGCAACCCAAATTGAAACACTATTTTCACTGGATTTTTCTTACGAAAACATTTCGCTGAATGCATGCAAACGATTCTTTATGCTTTCAGCTTCAATTTGACTATATTTTTACCACTGAGAAAAAGCAATCTAGCAAGGTTTTCTTGAAATGAAACACACGCACTACAAATTGTAGCTGATTTCGAGTTGCCGATAATAGAACAGTAGATTTACATGCAGTTCAAATGGAACGGTTGCCGAAGAAAAACTGGTTGCCGACAATACTCGCTCTCACTAGAGAAGATTGGAGCTTTGTAAAAGCGTTTCAAAACAGTTTTTGACAATTCTTTCGACTGAAATAGTTAGAGCAGCTGGCAGCAAAAGATTGTAAACAAACCAATACTGCATATGTGTGCGTTCCATAGAGAAAAAGGCTATAGAAAGAAGGTCGCTGCTTAGGTTGCCGAGAATACGTAAATTCCCCTATGTTTTTGTCTAACATTTCCTGATGGTGTGCAAAATTTGTTGAAATTATAAAAAATTACAGAAGACTGCTTTAAATTAAACAAGATATCATTTTTACTGTACTTAAAACCTCTGTCTCAATATGTACGTTTATAAAACCATGATTGAGCAAAGCAGGCTTTCAATTGCTCATTACAGCTAAAATGCGTTTCGTCATTATGAAACAATGAGATACTATAATAATAATTTTTATTTGTAAGATGCAAGAAGAGGTGGTAAAGTTTGTGTATGACATATAAAATTTGTCAATTTTGCTTTCAGAAGGTCACAACTAGCGATTTTATGATCGCTGATTGCTCGCTCATCGCGTTGCTCATCGTTACAGCTAACCGCTAGTTGTGACCTTCTGAAAGCAAAATTGACAAATTTTATATGTCATACACAAACTTTACCACCTCTTCTTGCATCTTACAAAAAAAAATAATTATCATTATAGTATCTCATTGCTTCATAAAAATACGAAAAATAGCATTTTAGCTGTAATGGGTAATTGCAAGCCTGCCATAGAGGTAACTTTAAGACCAGAAGATCCCAAAAAAACGTGCTCAACTTTTTGGCTCAGCTCTGGTACTATCTTCGGTCCCAAGCTAATCGATGCACCCCTCGAAACATAGGAAAATCCACTAACCCCTCATTTTATCTGTCAATATTTCATAGCGAATCAAAACAAACATAGTGTAGTACTAGAATTTCGACTAGAATGGGGTACGTTAATCTATTTGCTTGGGACCAATAGGCTAGTCAAGTAGTGAACCATTTTCAAATCGTTAGTTGCCACCGGTTGGCGTAATCGCCTATTTCCATTCTTTCGAGCAGAAATCATAAATAATATCGATAATTTCTCCGTGCACAAATCAATAAATCGTTTTTTTTTTTTCCAATGCGTTAGTTCATTTAGCTAAACCACAATGCCTATTAGAGCGAATTGTATGAATATTTACACTCATTGTTCTCAAAAACAAAAGAAGCGCTCCTAGCGAATACTTTTTTCCTGCCTTCATCCTTATAAAGAAGAAAGTCTAATGGCGTTTCAATGCGTTTAGACGGAATTTAAACTCGTATGACGGAATTGGAATAAAAAACAGTGATATTTAACAATATCGCAACAGTTTGTGACTCTTGATCAAATCTAACGATGCGTGGAATGATAAATAAATTTGCAAGTCATCTTTAGTACAATAATTTTTTTTTCAAATCCGTTCAAAGCGGTAAAGCGCGGATTGTGCTTAAAAGGACATAAATTATATCACAAACCCTACAGAAAGTCAGTCCAATAAGGACAAGCACATAAAATCGGATATTTTACCTTTCATAAAAGCCTTAGATTTTGATATTTTAGGAGTTCGAACTTAACTACGGATTTGATTTCAGGATCCTCTTGATTTGCTTCTAAAAGTGATAAACTTACTATAGGAGATTAACTGAATTTCAAACACTCCAGTATACTCCAGTATAGGGAGTTTAAAATGAAATCCCGCCTTTTGGTTGCGTCACTGAACTAAATTTCCTACTTTTTTCTAGAGTTTAAAAAAATGTTTCTAGAGTTTGAAGCTAAGCATTTTTGCTACCACCTTCCACCTTGTAAAGATATCTACTTTCCAAACGGGGAAAGATTACATCGGATTTCTCATCTGCATATGAAAAGGCCTCTTCTTCAAGAGAAGTGATGGAAACATGGGGCGAAGATGGCATCAATTCCAATTCATCCTAAAAATTCCCAAGCAATTTATCACTTGCGACAAGGCATGAAAAGGCGTCAACGACGACGCATCAATGCGTGCGGCAGTTGTCTTGTTTCTCACACCTAACGCGAGGCGCACGTGGATTCCATCTTACAGGCCACGCGGGAGAGATGGAGAGGGCGAGGCTCATGTCGTAAAAGGAGCAGCAGCTCGCACGCATTTCAGTATGACGACAACAAGTGCCTTTGGACGTGTATTGCACGCTTCCTCCTCTACCACCACCAACCGTGCCGCGTAAGGGTAAGTGTATCAATCAATCAATCTTTTATCAATCTGTGTACGGCTTTTATCCGGTAGCTCGGATTTTCCAACCGTGTCTTAGTGGAGATGAGTGTCACTTTGTGGTTTGGTAAAGGATTGGAATATTTACTATTCTGGAATGTATATTGTATGAATTTAAGGGTAGTGGCTGTAAGCAAACAACGGTGTCGCGAATTGTACTATTCGAATTGTTTCGATTTTATCGCGGTCAACATTTATTTTGACGTAATTTATTTGAAACATGAACAACATCGAATTTAACATTGCAATGACTGTCATTCTATGAAAAAACATGATTCAAGGCCAAATTTGTTTTCAGAACATGTAATTTATTGCTTAACCCATTAACGCCCAGTGATCTATTTATCGATCCGCATTTTTCTTTTATCGTGTCTTAACAGAAATTGGGAACGTAAATTATGTTTTCAATATCACTCAAATGATTCTTGGAATTTCCTTAACATATTGTTATCAAATAGTGTCAGAATAATCCTTGGGTTACTTTTGGAAAAATCATGCATTTTCTGGAGGTCAAAGACGACTTCGGCGTTAACGGGTTAATTATTCATAATGCAAAATCCAACCAAAAAATTGCGCTAGCCGCAGCCCGTAACACTTTCAGAAAATCCTCTGTAACAATGGATCTAATCATGGTAAATGTATGGGAAACAGAACGATCCTATTCATAAGCTTACAAAGGTCCAAATATTGATCAAATTTCACCAAATGTCGGACATAGATTGAGAATACTATACAAGAAAACTTTTAATTTGATCTTTGTACAAACAGTTACTAATTTTTCACTTTAGGCCAAGTATTCCACACGTACCTACAAGCTCATGAAATGTTGAGAATCTTTCACTATCCATTCAAGTGTAGTGTACATTGAATCGCAAAACAGATGGATTTAAAGTGTTTTGCATTTCAATGCGATGTGAATTGCTTGCTCAGAAAGGTAAGCATCGAAAATAAGAGTTGTGCCTTCATCCTATAAACCAGCCTCATATATGAGAACAACCGTGGCGCACTGAGATTGAACGAAGACAACGGCAGCAGCACACCCCAACAGTCCAGGATCGAATCCCAAAACAGAGGCATTAAATGTGTAAGCTCTGCCCTCTCGCAGCATTGCTTATATATTTGTCGATGTTTGTACGAACTGTGGCCAGCCAATTAGCTGGAGAAATCTTCTGGTGAGCAAGCACCTTAAAACTAATTATATTACAAATATTTTCTTAAAACTTAGTTGAATTCAAACATTTTCTCTATAAACAAATCCACGTAAATTTTTCTTAGATATAATAATGTTTGTTTCTAATTTGAGTTCAGAAGGTAACGCATTAAATTTCATAATTCCAGAAAAAAATACATACCTAGCAGCTAATTTAGTTCTAGCTCTTTCAACTATATAATTTTCTCTATTTCCTGTATCAATAGAGTGTATAAGCGGAACATTGCATCTTATGTGATTCCTTATTTTATAAATAATAGAAGTACGTTATATTTACACAAATAATTTAGCGAAAGCAGGGATTCCGAGTACAAATTTCTAGTTGGAAACAATGTGGGAAGTTGTTGCTTTATTTTTAGTACTCTTAGTTAATTTAATTGCGATACGCTAGTTGAGCTCCATATACAATTCAAATAATTTATATGTGGAATAATAAATGAATTATAGAGGTGCTTAGGCATATTTTTTTTTCAGAGTAAAAATGACTGGTGTAATTTTATTTATTTATTTTTTGAATTTGCATTTTCCATTTTAGATTATTATCGATTCTAAGCCCCGAATAATCAACTCCCAAAACTTATTTTAATTCTCTTTCATCAACTGACAAATTAAATCTAGGGGTTGAAAAACAATAAAGTTTGATTTTTCGGTATTGATTTTCATCATATTTACAGAAAACCATTTGGGAATAATTTCCAAGTCATTTTGCATCATGATTTGCAATGAAGTGATGTTTGCTCTATATTTCCAGACTGCATCATCCGCATAACATTGAAGCTCGCCTTTGAGTGGCAGGTTAAAAATATCGGTAAACCAGCGCGTATGACACTTAATATTTCACCAATATTGCACGACTGCTGACGATTAGACAGATACGATTTTATTAAATTTACTGCAGAAACTGAAATACCGTAAAAACTCAACTTCTTTAGAAGAATTACATGTGGAATACAATCGAAAGCCGTAGACAGGTCAATAAAGATACAAGCCACATAATAACCTTCATCTAGACCTCTTATAACGTGGTTTACAAGCTCTAGTGATGCTGAACCAAATTGTCTATTGCTTATTAATTGGTTTGGATCATGAACGATTTCAATTGTTGGTTGAATATCTTTTCTGGATTTTTTGATAACGCTGGCAGAATTAAAATAGGCCTATAGTTATTTTTTGACGATTTATCTCCTGACTCAAACAAGGGTATAATTTTCACTGTTTTTAAACAATCAACAAAACTGGACGTTTCAATAATATAGTTAGTTAACTCTGACAATTTTGGAGCTATCACATCTCTATAATTCTTTAAAAACCTCACAGATATTTGATCAATTCCAACGGCAGCAGACGAGTTCAAAGAGTTGAGTACAACCTTTACCACACCATCATCAATAGGTGAACATGATAATGAATGTGCTGAAAGGTGAGACATATTTTTTTCGATGTTATTAACAGAATCAAAATAGGGAGACTAGTTAAACCAACATTTACAAAATAATTATTCAAAAAAGTTGCCACATCTTTGTAATTTGATACAACTACACCATTTTCCTTTAATGAGATTTTCTGATTACTTTTCTGGTTGGAAGGTTTTTGAAAAATACTACATGTTTTCTTGCAATAAGCTTGGTTTTCATAGATTTGGTCCGAGTAGAATTTTTCTTTAGCCAATTTTATTCGATTACTTAATCTGTTCCTTTCCGTTACATAATCTCTGAACGCATTACTTTTAAGTGTTGACCCATTTGACGCTCTTATATTTTTTGAACAATTCATTTTTATTATTAATGGCATTTAAAAGCTAAGGAGAAATATACGGCTTGCGAAAATCAATTTTCCTTTTATAACTAGCTGTATGCTTATTATCATCAATAACATTTTTTAGTTTCGTACTTAAATCATTAAAACTTTCCGATGCATCCAAAAGCACTGTTAATACTGAGTTTTGTATATTATCATACCTAATGGCTGTTCTTTGGAAACGACAACACACTAGTTTTATGATCTGATAAATGGAATTCTGTATCCATTACCACTAGTTCCATTTATAATTAGATATATTTGTAAGAAAATGATCTATAACTATCAATATAGTTTTCAACGATTGGAATACAAGTGTTTAATAGGTTAATATTAAAACAACCACATATACATAACTTTTTTATAATTTAATATAATGTACTCTAATTAATTAATAAACAATAAACAATTAATAAACAATCGATTAACTCTACCATTAAATAGTTGCATTCATTTTCACATCTAGCTAGAATTAATTGGCTTCTCAAGCCAGATAATACAAATATGAATACGCCTCCACCATCACCATTTCTGCAACAATGAAAAGCAACGTAACCAGGCATATTACAAAATTCATTTTCATATAACCAAGTCTCAGAGAAAACAACAACATGTACTCCTCGTAGATCATTTATTAATAGACTTAATTCTTACATTTTATGTCTGCAACTTCTTGTATTCAAGTGTAATATATTCAAACAGTTATCTGATAAATTACATTCTATTGCGGGTTTGATAGAAAGTTCTTTATTTAAATTTCCACTTTCAGCCACTCTAACTTAAAAAAAGTAAATAATAAGCATTGTCTTAAACTGTAGACCGATCTCGTTCACTGTGATTATCTTTGAGTTTTCATCTTTCCAAATAAATACAGATCCATGAGAAAACCACACAAAGCGAAATTTCTTCCCAATACCCAAAATACGCTGGTTGATTGGTGTCAGATGGTCCTCTTCGCAGGTGAATGGACGCTCCTTAATAGCATTCATTAACTGTTCCTCAACAGAATTGGTTGAACACCTTTATGATTTTTCGATGTAAGACGAGACACGCCTAGAAAATTCGTCACATTGTAGGTAATGTTTAGCTGATTATAAATACGCTCGATCAAAACATTCAGGTTTTCACCGTTTGTTTTGATCCTATTAGAGATGAGCAGGTGACTCTCCAGACTTCTCTGTTCGAAAGCATTTACCTCATAGTTTATCTCTTCTAGGTGATTACGTAATGTGCTATTATCTGTCTTCAGAGTGTGAATTTCCTCTGACATGGAGCGGATATCGTTGTCATGTCCAGAGAGTGTAATTTTAACGGATTAAAATTCACCCGAGATGACGCCACGTCATCAATACGTTTCATATAGCGAATTCGTTTATTATTCAGTTCCAACCTGGATCGGGTATCAAGATTGGGTCTGCTTGTTTTCTAGCAAACGTCAGTTTTATCGTTTGTTTTTAAAACCTGGCACGGGTCGAGGTTCGCACTGACAAAAAGTTCGGGTTCGCACGGGTTGGAACTGGTTCCAACCCCGATAATAAACGAATTCGCTAATAGTTTGATGGTTTGCTTGAAGGGCCACCCACATTAGATCCGTTTGCGTTGCGTTGACGTAAATTCGACAGTTAGACAATAGATTTAGCTGTCACTTTGCCGCAACGCGTTCGATCCGGATCTAATGTGCGTGGGCCTTGAGTGATATCTTGCTGTCGCAGGTCATTTAAGGACAACACTGCCACATCAGTGCTATCCCTCTCACATTCTTCATCCATTAGGACACCGTTTTCGGACTGCTTTGTAGTGCACTGCTGCTTTATTGTAAAGCCTTGTATTGCTAGAAACAACAATGGCCTCAGGAGAGCTACTGGCTTGTCTTTTAGTTTTGTTGCGCTTGGTCATTCGAGGTAACTGATGTCGAGCAATTCTCAGCCAAAACAGCTGACAGAAAATACCGGAGCGAAACTCTCAACTTATTTACCCCGACAATATGCCCGTAGAGCAATGTTTCAAACTCAGATCAGTCCATGAAATCACAATACAGCAGTTTCACCAAAGCAGCAGCAACAACAGACCAACACATTTGAAGTCTTTTTCCAATAGCAGGCTTGTGTGGGTTTCACTTTTTACTTGGCTGACTATTATTGAAAATTAGATCACATTCACGTAATGTTCGTTCATTTGTTAGAAAATTATTCCGCAAATTAAATATCACTTTGCGATAATTCTCATCCAGCTAGAATCCATATTCCATGTTCCTTCGTTGACGGTCGGTAGTAGTAATGTTCTTTTTTTAAATTTCAAACAGGTTTAACGGTCCTTATTTCTCGATGAAAACTTCAATGTTTATACACGCGATTATTATCGGTACCAAATTGTTTATATGCTTGCTAAACGCTATGATGAGCAATGCTATTGGTATCACCATGTGAGGCCCATAGAATCCAAGTGTGTCACAATTCAAATCAATAGTGTTCAGGTATGGCTCATAGCATAAGATTCACACATGAAATGGAAATGTTTCACAATAAGTGCAAAATTAAGTGGGAGACACATATGATGACGTGTTGAATTTTTTGAGTGCATATTGAATGGTATTTGACAGTGTTTTCCAGTTTATCTGCAACCGAA